CATTTGATGTGATTATTAAAATTTATGCAAATTAATGAGCTTGGCATGTTAGATCCTAGTGCTTGATATGGCTTTTGAAATTAATGTATTTGCTTATTAGAATTTATGCATATTGATGACCTTAGTATGTGTACCTTGATTATAATCATGTTATTTAATGATGCACACATTGATATATGACTAAAATTGCATGATTTAATAGTTGATGTCCAATTTAAACTTGGTAAAATGAAGGAATATCAAATTAGGTGCATTTTCTTCAAAACAGTCCCAAACCTTTTATTTGTACCAATCAAGGCCAGTAGAGCCGGCTGCACCTTCTTCACAGCTGGCTCACCTAAAATCCCGAGAGTTTTCTCTCTCTAAGATTGAGCCGGCTCCAAGACTAAAGCCGGCTCTCCGTCAATCTTTAAATCTTTTGGGCTTCTCTCTCTTCGAACCAGATCTGTTATTTTCTCAACCAGCAGGCAAATCCGACCCAAACTCGGTCACTTGTGTTATCATGCTTTGTGAATGGTAATGGCATCACTTGTGTTATCATGCTTAATGGTTGTCTATGATTTTGATGATTGTATGCTCTTATTGAGGGGGAGCATTTTGTGCTTAAATTACTCCTCTTAATGGTTATCATGCTTAAATGCTTTAAAAGATTGATGTGCATGAATTAAGGGGGAGTTTGTTGATTATGTGCTTTTTGATTAATGACAAAAAGGGGGAGAGAATATGCTGAATGTAATGTCATTTTCTAGAGTATCTTTGTGCTGAAATTTTGAGGTTAATATTGAAGTATATATGCTTTCATGATCAAAGTGCTTTGTCATCATCAAAAAGGGGGAGATTGTTGTACCTATGATTTTGATGATTACAAAACACATTTGAGTGACTAATTGATTTATTTAAGTGTATAGTTAAATTGCCAATATACTGCAAAGTAAGCAAAATGAGATTGCATTAAAACGGGCTCAAAGGGTAAAAATATGCAGAGAGCCGGCTTAAGAAAATTGCAGCCGGCTCTAGGAAGCAAAAATGCAGAGAGTCGACTGCAGATTTTGTTTAGTCGGCTCTACAGGCCAGAAATTCAACTGCTGTTTTGGCGCGCGCGGAAATGGAAGCAGAGTCGGCTCCTACTTTGTAGCCGGCTGTGAGGGTGCATTTAATGCATAGTCAAGTTATTTGAAGATTATTTAATATGTTTAAAGTTGGAATCCTAAAGCCGTCTCTAGGCTTTGCAGCTGGCTGTAGAAGAAAATAGAATATGCAGGAATCTCGCAAAGCCGGCTGCAGAAATGGTGAGCCGGCTGTATAAAGCCGGCTCTAGGAAGTTAAGCCGGCTCTCCTGACAATCCTACAACTCGAGCTTTGTGTCCTGCAAAGTATTAAATGACCCCCAATGGCTAGTAACGACTATTTTCGACCATGGGGTTATAAATATGGTTGGTAGAAGATCTGAAGGAGTTTTAGAGAGCATTGTATTGAATATCTTTACCTACCTACATGAGCTTTAACTGGAGTTTTTGATCTTTGAGAAATCTTTACTTGTAATCCTCTTCTTGTTCTATTTGTGAGTGATCTTGGGGGGTGTGATTAATCCTTCAAGAGTGATTTGTAGAGAGGATTTGTGGGGTTTAAGTGTAAAGGGGTGAGATTTGAGAGAAACACAATTTTTCTTATAAAAGGATTGAGTGGCTCCTTTAAGCCACCCTTGTTGTTGTTAGCGGAGAGTGTGGAGGAAATCCTTGGTGAGTGAAGCCAAGCTAGAGGATTAGGCTCCAAGTGGTTGGACCGAATTTCTAAAAATCATTGAGTAAGCTCTTCTTCTCTACTCTCTTTAATTTTGGTTTTGTGGTTGCAAAAATGAGAGAATTTTTGGAACTCCAATTCACCCCTTCTTGGAGTACATTGAGTCAACAATTATGATTGGTCATAACACGGCTTCTGAACTTTTTTCTATCCAATCTTTTTCGTTGAATTGAAAGTTTTTACTATCTTTTCATAAAATTAAGAATTCAGATTACCAAATACCCTCCCCTTTGTTTTCTTTTTTTTTTGGTTTTGGTAAAACAGATTACCAAATACCACAAAGTCACAAACCCCACCTTTTTATTCAACAAAAAAAAAAAAAATAGAAACTTACTTCGACCCATGGCCTTGGCCATAGAGAGCCGTTTAGTGGTCCCTATACTGTAATACTATTATGTAGCTGTACTTCATGAACTTCCACTCCAACATTGAGTAGCGACAGAAGATGCTCGACGAGGTCTGCAATTCAAGGTTCGGTTTGGTCTAGGCTTACTGGCTTAAAAGTTATGATTCTGCCAAAACGAAATTGTAATGACAAATAAATATTTACGATGCTCAGCTGAACTTTAATATGCCCGCGACTAATGTGACTATTCTACTAAGTTTCAACCATGCGACTTGGCATTTCCTTTAGAAAGGCAAAAGGTAAGGGGAAGAGAAGTGTTAGGTTGACGGATGAGCTGTTGCTAGAAGCCTAGAACACATTAAGGTGCAGCAAGATCCTTATCTACCTTATTCTCTTGCCATTTCTTCAGAAGGTGTAGCTATCGTCGAAGGTGTAAAACCTGTCGTGCCAATATATATTTTGATGGTCAGAAATCCATGAAGGGAAATTTTTAGAGCCCAAAATAAAGTATTGTTTATGACTAAGGGCCTGTTTGATACAACGGTTAAAATTTAGCGGATAGCAAATAGTGCGTAGTGGGTGGCGGTTAGCGACTAGCGGATGGCAGATAGCGAAAAATGGATAGCAGATGGTAAATAGCGAATTCGATAAATATAACTGTTAGACTATCACTACAAGAATTCACTGTATCACCGACGAGAACCCATGTCGAAAAAAGAGGGAATCTGGTCGATGAAAGAAAATGCCCACTTGAATCACGTCGGTAATAGGTTTCTCGGTGAAGCCGGGCTCGGTAATTCAATCACTGACGTAGATGAAAATCACGTTGGTAAACGCACCCATAATTACCGACAAAGAACATCTTGCAAATAGGGAGCCGGAACAATCCATTGGAAAACATCTCTGGTTTCCACGTCGGTAAATTACCGACAAGCATAACGTCTGTACATATACAGGAGCCTCGAGCCCAGCGCTAATCACCGACGAACATCACGTCTGACAATGCAGAAAAATGCTTCGCAATTTGAGCCATGTTAGTAAATCACCGACAAAAACCACGTCTGAACTACACAAAGATCTTCGCTGCAAGTTCAAAATCATCTCCAAAATTTTAGGCGCCAATTTTTTCAGGCGCCATTTTTTATTTTTGTTTTCCTAGTTACCAACGAGAATCACGTTGGTAATTGACCCTGAAAAAATAAAAAAAATATCTCGAATTCAGCTCATATTAAAATTAATATATGTATTTATTGTTTAATTAAATTAATTTACAAGTAAACATTAAGTAATTCGTAATATTTAATATTATAAAAAATAAGTATAATAT